GAATGCTCAAATGTGCAGAACTGTCTCAAGAAAGACGAAAGGGGGGAAAAGAAAAGGAAAGATAGTCAGCTTCTGGCAGGTTGCTTAACAGTAGTAAAAAAAAGGAATTCCTGGACTGTTGTCATCGTTTCATAGCCCAGAAAACTGTCTGGTTTCCAAATCCTCAGGGAAGAGAACCAGTCCTAAAAGGTTTTTGTTTTTCTTTTTGGCCTGTACTTGAACCCGGACATGCCATTTTCTGCCCTCTGAGCATGCCAGCCTGTGGTACATGCACCGAGCAGACGCCTGACCCTGCTTAGACGGTGATAGTATTATTTGGTTGCTATTGATATTTCCCCTGTAGAAGTCAATACTTCTGAGTTTCCCCGGGTTCCCCAACAAAACCTCAGCAGATGTGGGAATAGGTCACCTGGCTGCCAAGTCCACGTCCCTCACGTTGCCCGCTGCAGTGAGCTGCTTCCCGTGAGGAGCAACAGCTTTCACGGTCCTCACAAACTCACAGAGCCGTGGTTAGAGGATTCTGTTTGTTTTTATCTCAGTTGATAGCGTTTAGACAGCGAGGAGCCCTGCAAATGGCCTTCCCAGCTGCTACGCAATGAAGCTTTTGCTTTACTTATGAGTGCCGTTAGTTGTGTTTCAGATTCAGGAAACTGCCTAGACACCACGTTAACAGGAGCATGTAGAACTAGAAGCTGGGGGGGCAGAGCAGAGAGAAAACAAATCCAAAGCTTGGTCTGGGAAGGAAAAGAAAAGCCGGTGAGCAGGACACACGATGGAGTTACTCAGACTATCCAGAAATCGCAGCAGCTGGGGGAGGTCCTGATGGGAAGATTTATAGTGCTGTCACAAAATTTAGGTTTAGTTAGTAGCCTACAGTTTCATGCAGTGAAACTAATCACATTTCAGAGTACACTGGAGAAATGTAAAGAGGCCATTCTGTAAGTAAGGAATTTGAGTTGCTCAGTCAAAAAAAATTTGAAAAAGGGAGGCAATTTTTAAGATATTATGATGGATGCAAGGACTTTCAATCAAACAAGTTCTGTGAAGGAAGAGGTTGTTTAGTCATTAATATGAGATCAGATTTTGTGAGGATCTGAGAAGAAAAAGGTGTTAAACATTTTATCCTCACATGAGTGGGTTACACTAGGTATTGCTTTATTCACAATTCAGAGTTGGGCCATCACCTCAGTGAGTGGCAAAGCTTAACTCGCTAGACCAGTTTATAGACATTTATTAAACCGATTACACCAAGTCTAGAATCTTCATAAGTTTCTAAGCAACCGTTCCGTTCCTTTAAATACATCATTTATGAAGTTCTTTCTATTCTTCTGTCTTCGTAGAATTCTCCCTCACTGGTTTCAGGCCTTGCTTGGTTTCAGGGTCGTCTCGGAGTCATCGCCTGTCCTTCATCTTCTTTTGTGAATTCTGTTTGATACAATCCATACAATTAATTTCTATCCCAATTGCACACATACACATTGTATGGTTTCTTAACACAGCTGTGTTTAAACAGCTGAATCTACGTTCTAGTTCTATGATTTTATTCTATTCTATAATCAATCTTTATAATCAATCTCTAACAAAGGATGTGGGGAAGACGCTTAGAAGAACTTGCTTGAGCTGAGAGGCAAAATGAAGGTCGGCTGGTCTTCGGAACAGAAGAACAGATCACAGCTTCAGAGGCGCACCGCAGAGTAGAGGTAAAAAAAAATATCATAAACCTACAGGACCTTTCAAAATGAAAACAAACTGGAAGATGCAAGGGGCTATCTGCAAAATGCAGTCAGAAAGAGTCTACAAGAAGTAAGAGGGAAAAAGTGTACAAAGTATTAAAGAAAGCAGAGACCAACATGACTTCCAACCTCTCCTTTGGACTTAGTAAAGGGAAAATGATTTGAAAAAAAAGATAATTAAGGAGACCAAAGCTGAAGATATAGCCCAAGAAAAATGATTCGGAGAACACACAGTGAAATAAAGCTTCTCTTTGGGAACGGGTAAAGACACAGCTTCCTCCAGTGGTGGGGATATCAAGTGTAGACACTTCCCATGTATTTACAGGTTGAGCACTGGCACACCGATTAATGGGTCCTCTGACATTGCAGTAAAGCATCTGGAAGGAAAATCTAAGCTTATTAAGAACAGATGGATAAGAACCAGGTCAGCCTTTCCTATTGTTCCTATTTGTAAGCTAGATGTAAAAGTAATCTTGGAAAGACAGTTTGAGTTGTTTTGGGAAATCGAGTTTAGGACTCAACATGCCAGCTTCATCAAAAGAAACAGGACTGCAAAAGAACAGGAATAATTAGAAAAAGTTGTTTCCTGAGCAGCGACAGTCTGATTCCCAGAGATCTGTCTCCTGCAGCCGCTAGCTGAGGACCCCTGCCCTCCCCCAAACCCTCAGCCCCCCACCATTACCTCAGCTACACAGTGATTAGGGATCATTGTTCAGCCTGAAGAAGAGAAGGCTGAGAGGGGACCTTATAAATGCTTACAAATATCTGCAGGGTGGGTGTCAGGAGGATGGGGCCAAACTCTTTTCAGTGGTGCCCAGCGACAGGACAAGGGGCAATGGGCACAAACTGAAGCAGAGGAAGTTCCGTCTGAACATGAGGAAGAACTTCTTCCCTCTGAGGGTGACGGAGCACTGGAACAGGCTGCCCAGGGAGGTTGTGGAGCCTCCTTCTCTGGAGATATTCAAGACCCACCTGGACAAGGTCCTGTGCAGCCTGCTCTGGGTGACCCTGCTTTGGCAGCGGCGTTAGACTCGATTACGCACAGAGGTCCCTTCCAACCCCTAACATTCTATGATTCTGTGATTATTATTCCCTCGATCCAGCCACAGCCTTGTTAAATAATGCAAAGGTAGAGCGTGTCATGCCAAGAATAATATCTGTGTTTTCTCCACCTGGCACCCGTACAGTGGTAGTGCCAGGTTATGGGGCTCAGGTTGATTTTTGGGAGTTTAAATGTTTTGGAAAATAGCATGCCATTCAGCATGTCCAAGCAAGCATAAAGTTTCTACAGATTAATCATCCTGTAATAAATTCTGTCAAAATTGGTAAAAAGGATTCTTAAAAGTGCTGAAAAGTCAAATTTGGTACCAGTAAATTAAAAGAAAGCCTGACATCTTGCTGAGGTGTTATTTACTGGAAAGCTTAGAACAGGTGCATGAATACATAACCAACAGTGTTAAAACCAGGGGCACTGTGAAGTCCTAAGCACACCACAAGAAAATCAGTTGGAAATGCATTACATCGAAAAGTTCCCTTGAGCTGACACCTCTGCATCTGTGGACTCCTGCAGAGGCAGCTGCCCTCGCAGCAGAGCTCTCTCCCTCTGGTCCCCTGCAGCCACCATGCTCCTGAAAAACCTCCCCACAGCGGCGCAGACGGAGTGCTCCCACAGCACCCTCCCGACAGGGACCCTGTTTGAAAGATGGAGAAGTAATTAGCCAAGATACCAACTGCTCATTTCATCCCATGTTGAGCGCAGCCTTACTCCCCAGCCTCGGGCAGAAGGAGCTTAGCGAACCGTAGAAGGCTCCAGGAGAAGCCCACTCCAACACCAGCCCAGCTGGCAGGGAAGGCAGCAAACACTCCAGATACCAGTTTTGCTACTCCTGGCGTTCCTCAGGTCAGGTCTTTTCCACCACCGTCTCGGTGACTCTGAGACCGTCAGTCCCATGCATCTGAATTAGAAGTCATTTAAGCCTTTTCTCAACAGGGTAGGGAGCTCTTCAAACACTTTTTTTCAGGGGAAAAAAAAAAAAAAGCCCACAGATCAGATCCATGCTTAGTGTCTGCCAACAACTGCACATGATTCTGCTGGCTTGCAGGTATTACTCCCCTGAAAGGGTGCAGAGGAATGCTTTCTCGCTTTGGAGGCACCCAGGTACTCCAAAGGTAGCAGGAGGTTCAGGCCTGGTAGAAGTTTTAGCAAATTTATAACACTGAACAAAACTCCCATGGAGAACTATTCACAGATGAAGTTGCTTTTCACTTTTACTAGTGGTTTCTGCTCTTAGTGCCTCACTGACCAAAATATTCCCAAAACTTTTCCCATTCAAAGCCCTGCTTGGGCTAGAGGCTCAGTATCATCTTATGCCAGTCAAAATCTACCCAGCAGACCTCCTCCTCTTTATCTGTGTTGGCACAAGCAGAACTGGGAACTGTTCTTGCTGAGCAATGTATTTTTGGGTCTGGGTTTTGCGGGGGTTATGGCTAAGTCAGTTTTCAAGTAGGTGAATGCTCTGCATCTGATCCTCCCCACCCCAGTGCAGTCACTGGTACCGGCATGGGGAATCAGCAGCAACACACACCTGGAGGTGGGATGCTCCTTTTGACAGCGACACAAACTGAGAGTTGCAGAGAGTGACCCCAAAACAGCACAGTCTCCTCAAGGAGCGCTTCTGCTTCAGGTGTGGTGCTCCAACACCTACAAAGCCTGCAGCGGCTACCCCTCGGCTGTCGCAAACCGCGGTGCAGAGTTACAGCTCCGCACACCAGCCTCCTGCCCCATCTTCTCAATGTGACACCCAGCCCCTAACTGCTGAAGGTTGTGTGAACTCTCCCTGCAGCCAGAAAGAGTTTTTACTGATGGGAAAATCTCATTTTCTTCCGAACTCCCCATGTTTGCACCTGTCCTCTCCTCTCTGCCTGGTTTCCCCTTTCTCAGAGCAACAAAACCCCCTTTTACAGTGCCTGGCCTGCCCCTCAGCAGGTGCTCCCTTACCTTCTCCTGCCCCTGAGAAGATTGTCAGTCACACCCCGAAGCCCACCTTGCTGGAAGCAGCTTTCTCCCACACGATGGATGGTTTCTTCCATTATGGCGGAGAAGAATGGGGGAAGATGGTTTGTACAAGGGCATCATTCCACACAGTATTTTCTCTAGTAGCAAAACTCTTCCCAAACTCTCCATCTCCCAGCCCCTGTCCTGCCCAAAGGCTGCACACACACACACACACACACCCCCCCATAAGCTGATGAAGCCATGGAGCAAATTTAATCAATATTGCAAGGACCAAGGCAGGGTGTGAGCTGGAAATGTCCATTATGCAATCCCTTTCCACCCTCGAGAGCCTGCAGCTTGGAGGCAGGAAGGGGAGAGCGATTGCAGGGTGAAGGCAGTCTGTCTGTCGTTCGAACAACATTCTGCCATTCTGAGATGGACTTCCAGACTCCTGTGAACTTGCTGAAGTTCACACCACCTTTGTCTTCTCTGTCAAACATGCCAAGAATCGACCTGACTGTTGCTGGATTGAATGGAGTCCACATGCCGTTGGATAATGCCCGCTGAAGTTCGTTATCAGGTATTATTCCACTCCTATCTTTATCACACCTCTGGAAGGCACTGCCAGCCAGGCAGCAAGTCTGTACACCGAAAAAGATCTCTATATAATCCCACCTATTTATAAAAACAGCTTAAAACAGACTTTCTGTTATTGTTTGTACAAATAATGCTCAGATTCATGTTCATGCAGAGCACAGGATGCAGATCTATGACAACCGACAAATGCTAGGCAAACAGCTCTCCAATCACCGCAGTTTTCCAGTGCCGTGGGATTGACAGCACAGGAAAGCAATTCACTGTTGTACACCACTTTCCCTGTTGAGAAAGGTCTGTGGCAGATGACTAGCTGCCATTTGCTTTTCTTGTCTTTTTTTTTTTTTTAATTTAAAAATGTCGTATATTCAGAAAAAAGTCCATATAAGCGACTTTCACTTTTACTTGCTGACTACACGGAAAGCCTTCTGGCTCACCTGACAAGATTAGGCCACTAATTTGCAAAAGAACAACCTTTAGGCTCCTGCAACAGAGGTGGGATATAGAAGCGCACTAAATGTGGCAGCTCAGGGACTCCTTGCAGTCAGCTGCTTTTCTGACATTTTCTGAGGGTTTGTGCCTGAAGACAGCAGGCTTTAGGTAAGCTGCTGAGATCCTACACACATCCCCACTCTCGGATCCTCCCACTCAGGGCATGCACAACTGAACCGCTTCTGACTCCTTTGCTGAAATACAACAGCTTATACTGCAAGACTGTTCTAAAATAAACCATTAATTTTTGTTTCCATGCCATCAGTCACCCCGAATGTCAACCCACCATCCACCAAGTTTCAAGTACCGTGTCCATCATCCAACCTTTCCCCTGTCCATCCCAGTCGGAGCTGCTGGGGCGTTTCTCGATCGCCCGGAGAAGCGCCAGGCAGCAGCACAACAATTTGAAATAGCCACCCCACCACTTCAGTCTGCAGGGTGGGAAAAAGCCCCTTTGCCTCACCGCTTTCTGCTGCAAGCACTGGCTCTGCAGCCCCGGTGGGACACTGCCATGTGCTGTTATTCAGCTCCCCATGGACTTCCTCCCTGTTAATGACCTGACACAGAAGAACAGGGTAAGAAGAGCTGCCAGTGGTACGACCAGGCAACAAAGCAAAGTTCGCTGCCAGCATTAATTACCAAGCCTCCAGGACACAGGAGCTTCCTGCCGTTTACCGGGAGGACAGGCCATGACTCCTGTCTCGTGCATCTTGACATAGGCGCTTTCACTTTTCCTCCTTCCGCACTTCCCACCCAGTCTCCCTCTGGCACGTCAGCACCATCACAGGCACGAATCACCCCTAAGCGGATGGAGTTAACGGTATACCCAGCAGTGCCACTTTCAGCAGCAGCAGGTGTCCCTGCGTCAGGGTACGCAAGGTGGGTACATCCCCATCCCAAGCTAGAGATAAGGTGGAGGTTAAAGTTTAGCCCTTTCTGCAGTCAAAAGAATAGCCCCTATCAAAAAACTATTCCCCAAGATCCTTCAGGGGATTGATATTGGTTCACTTAATTACAAAGTGTTCTACAGCTACTGCTAAAACTGAACATTAAAAAAAGATGCACCAAGTGTAACTTGTTCAGCGTAAACTCAAAGGAGATTCCACCATCCATTACAGGATCACACATTCGTCCTCGCTGCTGTACTCCAAGATATAGGCAGGGTAAATCTGTTGCTTCTCAAAGATGACAAAGATGGAAGGGTCTGTCGGGTCATCCACGCAGCTGTCGTAAAGTCTGGTTGAATTGCCGGGTCTGGCCGGAGGGCGAACGTATCTGGAGTTTCCCTTAACAAATTCTCCAACAAGAACGTGAGCTACAAACATGCTGTAGCGACCACTGCGAGAGGAACAGTAGTTGTGAGAATAGCTGGCGTCTCTGGCAAAGTAGCTTCCTGGGGACCAGAAAAAGCCACAGGTAAGGCAATACATCAACGGAGGAACAAGCGCTGGCAGCCCCAGGTAGCTCTACACGCATCCTCGCCAGGTGTTTCCACGTCACCTTGTTTTAAAGCACCGACAGACTCTAGCCAACTTTCACCATCAACCTCCCAGCCCCGCCTGCCCAAGAGCTCTGCTGCACAGCAGGTACCTGAGGCAAAGAGGGGTGTTTTTAGGCCCTCCTGGAAGGGGATTGCTGCCGATGCTGCCTGCAGCGACGCAGATGCGTGCAGACGAGGGTGCCCTCACGGCAGGAGTGCAGAAGCCAGGGACAGCAGGTCACCTCGCACCGACCCACCAGCCTGGCCAAGGTCTGCGTCCCGTAATGCTACAGCCCCTGAACCCACACTTCTGCACTTGTACCTTTTCCATACATTGTCCCATGAGTCCCACAGATCCTCCAGTCAAAATTCTGCTCACAGATGGCGCGCATGTGGGACGGATTTGTCCCATGGAACAGGAGCCGCTCATCCACCCGTTTTGATTTACTGAGCTTCTTCATCTGCTGCTTTTGCCTAGGGACAAGACAAAAAAAAAAAAAAAGAAAGAAAAAGAATGACATGTTTCCTTGGTTCATATGAGGACAATTTCCCAACTCAACTCCTTCTACTTTTGGGTCATGGAGGAGCAGTGGCACAAACCACTCTCAGTGGGGTTACTGCCTGCTTTGCACTTCTGCTGGTACCCTGCTGCACAGCTGGCTCCTTCCAGCAAAACAAAAAGTTCTCAGCATCGCTACAGACTGTGTCACCCACAACTTCATACCACATGAAGAGTAAAGAGACAAACATCTCTTAACTGGGAATTGGTTAGTTCCCAGGTTATATAAATCCTGAATATATAAATATGATTGTAAAACTGAGCTGCATGAAGCCACAGTGAGGACTATATAATGTCTGCCCCTATCTTTATCACATAAAAAGTCCCATTCATTTTTTAGACTGCTATGTGGAAGAGACCAAACCGAAAAGAATGAATTTGAGATACTACAGCTCAGTCATGGTGAAGGAAAAGAACTTTCTTTTCGAATAACAGTAGTAAGAACCCCACATACAACCTATTAGGTTATGTGATAAAAAGAGCACAGAGACAACGCCGATAACCCAACCACAGAGAGAGAAGCCCTAGCCCCTCCCAGGGCTGCCCCAGGGATCCTCAGCCCCAGCACCATGCGCAATGGAACGACTCTGGAGCAGCTCATGGACAGAAGCAGGGTGCCACCTACGAGACTATGGGACTCACGGGACAGCGGGGAAGAGCATTTGAGGATTGCACAGGACTTATAATGGGCTGTTTAACAGAGGAACTGTAGGTGGGAGAAGGGAGGGATCAAGATGATCTGAGGAGAAACAAACATGGGAAAATAGGTGGATAAGGGGGGTAAAAAAGGGCTGGTTGTGTATTAGGCAGGCAACTAGCTGGCCAGTAGGCTTGTCTGGCCATGCCCTGTGCCTGATCAGTGCAGGCTGCCCCATCTTTTCATTAAACTCCATTTCTAACTCTTAGCTGGGTGATGGATTCTCCAAGTCTGTGTGCATACGTGCATATGGGGGTCTGGGTGCAGCAACCGGAGTGGGACCTCAGGTCACAGGAGCTGTATGTTCACAGCACCAGCCACAGTGGCAAGCGAGGGGCTGTGTGGCAGTATGTGACCACTAGCCAATACAAGGCTGGACAGCCAGTGAGGAGGGCAACTGGCCTGGGAGCCAGGTATCGGAGCAGTCGTAAGTCTGAGCAAGACGCTGGAGACACCAAAAGGTCTGAGCTTTGCTTACCAGAGGCACCAAGAGGTCCAGGCCAACCACTGAAGACAGCATGAGGTCTACAGAGACCCATCAGTGTGTGTGTGTGCGTGTCTATGCAAAACATAGAGGAACCAGGGACTGGAATAATATGGGTAGGCTGAGTGTCTAAGATCAGGTCCTGGAGGGATCCATGTATGTTCCAGCAACAGGCTTCATCCCAGTCAGCCAGAAGAAGGAAACAGGATGAGGCCTTCAGTGCTGTTTATGGTTACACGAGTGCTGTGCTCTCTGTGTTGGTTTTCGTGGCCAGCTGTGCGCGGCTTCATACGCTCTGTGGGCATGTGTGTGCTTGTGCCCGTGCGCCTGCTGGGAACATGTGCTGAACCTCACTACCAGCCAGACCCAGGCACATGGATACGTGGCAGTCTCACCTCTGCTGCGCTGCTGGATTTGGCAGCTCCTAACGCAGACTGTGAAGGACAATAGATCAGGAAATACCAGGCTTCTGCTACACCATTAGGATAATGAAATGAAATTAAATAGATACAAACCACTGAAAACTTTGCCAAAGTGTCAGGTTCTGGATCCTCTGCAATTGGTGGATGTAGTAATTTTTCATCGTCCTCTGAAACAGCCTCTTAATATTTCCATATTCATGGGAATTATAGGTGAGCTGTACCAACTGAAAATTTTCAACACACCAAAAATAAGATATTACTGACAATAACAACTCCCAGTCCTTCCAAAGCACTCATCAACCTCCTCACATCAGAGGAAAAGCCTTGCCATTAAAATCACAAGCTTCTCCTGTCTTCCCAGTTAACCCTCACCCTGCCGTCACCCTCACTCCCTGTGTGGAAGTACAGGCACTGACTGAGGGAAATGACTGCAACCCCATGCGAGCTTCCTTCAGCGGCCACACCTCCACATCTGAAATCTTCCTTACAGCTAAGTTCTTCTAAATAACTACATTTTTTTAAAGTTGACTGCTCATTTTACAGACAGTGTCTGCTCCAAAGCTGATAACACCTAATGTTTATGGCCTTACTGAGCTAACTGTAAGTCTTTCTCCCTTTTCCTCCTTTTTCCCTTCCTCTAGTGGGAGGGCAGGGGTTAACAGAGAACACCTACCACTCTATTGCCATCTTACTCTACACAATAACAGCTGGGAACATCTCAAGTGCCTTGGGTCATATTCTCAGGAAAATCAGTACAGGTCACAGTTCACCCTACCCATTGGAGAGCTGGAATGACATACCTTGAACCCGGTATCAGGCAGTGCAGATTTGTCCCATTGCGGAGGACATGCAAAACATGACGGAGTGATGTTTTGGCTGCAGGAAAGAAAAAGGAACAAGTCAGTCCTGTATACTCCTAACCAAATCCCCCTTCCAGAGGATCCAGCCAGTGGTGTTATGCCAGTCTTGAGGCATCCCTGGAATTTTATTTGTTTTACATGCCACATAACTGTTATCCCTTTCTTTCTCCACTTTAGATTGCCACACACATCCTAGTGGCACTAATGCATCTCTTGGCAGGTCAAGACACTGGTAGGAGAGCTTCAAATGAGAAGCACCACGCCGTGGTTTATACAGCTGCTCCCAGCTAGCCCTCCACGTGTGCTGATGGAACCTCTAGGAAACTGGAGCGTGAGCCCTCTCTCTCCATGTGGCTACTCATCTTTAAATCGCTGGCCAGAAGGGTGGCCTGTCTCTACCCATCACAGCACCAAGCCTGTCAGGAGGCTGCTGGTGGACGGTTGTGCCCTCCGGGCACTACTGTACCAGTCAGCGCCCAACAAGGCCCAGCACTAAGGCCCCCCTGCCATGCATGTTTTAACCCAAGCCAGAGGAGCGTTAGCCTCCGTTCAGGAGCTACGGGTTGTTTTCTTTTTGAATCAACCCACCCTTGGTCAAACCAACCCTGAAATTGAACCCTTGGCTTCAAATGCACTGTCTGCTGGTGAGTTTCTGAAGCACAGAAGGCTCTTTTATTTTTTTTAAAAAAAAAGCAGTAACACAACAAACTTTTACCACAGACACGCTCAAATTCTGTCAAGCTGAACTTCCTTTAAACAAGCTGCAAGATAGGGTTTCCAAGTAAGTGCATCCAGTTCATCTAGGGAGATTTGCTTCTCTGTTTTATTTTATCCTCAGCTTTCCAGAGGATGGCATCTCTCCACTCTGCAGTTCTTGGGAATGGCAGTCCCTTGCTGCTACTCTGCACACAGTTTAGTATTGTTGGGGCATAAATCAAGGATAAAAATTCCTGGCACAGTTGTGTCAGTCCTGTGTGGCCTTGCTCTCACAGAGAGAACAAATCAACTCTAGGGGTCCCTAACAGCTTCCAGGAACGGCCACCAAACACTCCTCCAGCACCCTTCACAGAAGTCTTGCATAATGTACAAATACGATCACCATAAAATCTGCCATTGAACCAGCCAGCAAAAGGTGTCTAAAAATGAATTTAGGAAATCTAAGATTGAATTCTAAACAGGCAGGAGGAACTTCTTAGCAGAAAAGTACTGTCATCTAAAGACATTATAAATAATGAATGTATATTACCTTCTGTTTTGTCCACCTTGAGAGCACAGAGATTTCAGCTGTCGGGCAACCTTTCTTTGAGTTGCGTACCTGAAATTTGTTTGGACCATGTCTTTGAAAGAAAAACACAGTGACTCGGTAATTAGATTACTTATAGTCCAGGAACACACTCTTACATATTTAGAAAAAATAAAAAAGGAGGTAGCCCTGAATATCACATGGTGGTACTTTCTCTACCATGCCCAGCCCACTCTGTAGTCTGAAACCTTTCCCACCTGTGCTACTTCTGCTTGGAGATCAGCAAGATCAACCACCTGCTAGCACAGGTTGTGAAACTCCAAGACAACCAACCACCAACTGCACCTGCACATGCATTCACGTCCAGGCTGTCGGCCAGAGAAAACCATGTCCAATGTCAGGCCTACAGCAGGGAAGAGTTTTCAGTACGATGGAGGCCACAAATCTGGCTTTCCCGGCAGTGCGGGGTTGTTACATGATGCTAAGAGGAAAGTCTGTCCTCTCTTCTTGGTCCCGTAACAATATCACAAAGCACACGCTGTGTGACAGGGCTAATTATCCATTGTTTCCTCTTTTAAACGCCACTCTCTTTATTCCTGCCAGGAAACAGATTTAAAATTTGGAAAGCTAGCAGGAATTTTAAGACGGGTAAATAAATCAGAAACAGAAAAGCATTTCTCGTTTTCCCTCTCTGTGCAACCAGCCCTAAACTTTCCTTTGCTGCACTGTGTGCCTTCTTTCCCCATAACTAGCTTGCAAGATACTACTGTGGGCTCACTTCTTCACCATTTGACTTTTCAGTGGTTTGGGGTTTTCTTTTCTTCCTTTCTCATTTCTCCTCTTTGGTTGTATAAACCCAAATGCATAAGCCCAATGCCACAAAGTGTTTACTCTCAGCTCTTCTTCTGAATCACAGAATGTAGGGGTTGGAAGGGACCTCTGTGGGTCATCTGGTCCAACCCCCTGCCGAAGCAAGGTCACCTACAGCAGCCTGCACAGGACCTTGTCCAGGCGGGTCTTGAATATCTCCAGAGAAGGAGACTCCACAACCTCCCTGGGCAGCCTGTGCCAGGGCTCTATCACCCTCAGAGGGAAGAAGTTCTTCCTCATGTTCAGCTGGAACTTCCTCTGCTTCAGTTTGTGCCCATTGCCCCTTGTCCTGTTGCTGGGCACCACTGAAAAGAGTCTGGACCCATCCTCCTGACACCCACCCTTCAGATATTTATAAGCATTTATAAGGTCCCCTTATATATACAGGATTGTCCAGAGATGCTTTTTTGACTATGGATGCACAAGGCTAGAAGCTGGAGTGGGGCATCTCAAAACCACAGATAAATACACATACTGCTCAAGTTCTGCTTGGAAAAAAACTTACAGGAGGAAAAAGACCTGTTCAAAGAAACCCAGTCACAGTGTGACAACTCTGCATGAAGGAGGCTACCTTAGAGGCTGCTACACTGTGTAATAAACTTAAAACAAGGAGATACTTCACCTTCAAAGCTTAACTCATACGTCTGAGAACCAGCCCTGAATAACACAATGCTGCTATGGTCAGTTTGAAATTCCTTCTCCAGGATTTCAGATGTTACCGTGGCACAGCAGTGATCCGGATGCTACAGAAAGAACAAGGAAATTATACCTGTTAGAAACCAGTCTTTGGCTCAGGTGACACTGTGGGGAAAGACCAGTGTTTCCCCAGGTCCCTATCACTGGATGCCATTTTGAACTAAGTCTCTAAGGCTTCGAGCATTTTGTTTGTCAGCGACGGAGGGGTACCCCACAGAGGACAGCTGCTTGTAATAACAGCATCAAAGCAGCCTTCGGCCTGTGCGGCCAGCTCCGGCCAAAAGATGTCTGTCATCTCTGGAAGATGCACCCGCTTTCAAAGCTAGTGCTTTGAGAGCTTTCACAGAGGACCGCTTTGAGGGACAATTAATGACAGACCCACAAGGGCTCCAGAGCAGCATCGTGAGGGCAGCCAGCAGCACGTGAAACGTGCCAGCTGCAGAACGACGTGCCCTAAATAACTCTCTGAAGACAGCCTCGCAAGAGCCTTTGGCATCAAGACCAGACGGATCTCACCTCTTCTCCATACTCAATCCACTGCCCAGCATCATCCAGCCAATACCAAGCGTACTCCATTTCGGGAGCAGACGGATGAGTCGGAAGACACCACAGGGACAGAAGAGCTGACCTACGCCTGGCTGCTTGCTCGGCCCTAACATCAGAAGAGAAATCCAGATTAAAGTATAGGTCTTCTCCAAAGCTGCCAAACCAAGTGATATCCCTGGTCTGGTCAGAAGTCTAATCAATTCTCAGAAAAGGAGACCCCTCCAGCTGTGAAGTGCAGGTTTGGGCCAGAACCGAGGAACTGATGTTCGTGCATTTATGGGGCATGGTAAGCATCACAGAAATGACCCTGACCTCTCTGGCTGGGACCCAGGTCACTGTTTTTTTCTAAGCATTACCTTTCTAAAATACACGTTGTAAGAAATGACAGCTTGACACAACGAACTCAGCTCTTTACGTGAAGGCTGGTGGTGCCACCTGGCTAACAAGAGTGAGATTTGGCTTCCAGGCAGCACTTGCTCAGCTGCAGAGGTCAGAGTGCCTTCAGAAGGCACTGATGGCAACCTCCCTCCTCTAGTGTTCGGGAAAGCAGAGCTGCCACTCACAGGTGCTGTACAGGGTGCGGGTGCCCAGGTGCCAGCAGCCGGGGGCTGCAGGGATGGTCTCTGTGAGAGGAGACCCAGGATGCCCCATGTGGGACACAGCCAGCTCAACAGACCTGCTGCAGGACACAGCTGAGCCCATCAGCCAGGCTGGTGGTGCCTCTGAGAAAGCCACCCAGCAGTGAGGAAAAATATGAGGGAAACAGCCCTGCAGACACCCAGGTCAGTGAAGAAGGAGGGGATGAGGTGGTCCAGCAGCCGGGGCAGATATCCCTCTGCAGACCACGGGGAAGGCCATGGTGAAACAGATTGTCACCCTGCAACCTGCATGGGAGCACGGTGGAGCAGATATCCAGCCTGTGGAGGACCCCATGCTGCAGCACGTGGACATGCCCTGAAGGAAGCCATGGAGTCCATGGAGAGGAGCCCATGCCAGAGCAGGCTTATTCTGAAGGACTGCAGCCTCCGGGAACAGAGCCATGCTGGAGCACGAGAAATTTTGGGGGATGGTTCAGTGGCAGAGGGCAACTCTTATGGACTGAGGTTAATGCCCATTCCCCCAGTGTTGCTTGGGGCAGGGGGGAGGTAGAAAAGTCAGGAATGAAGGTGTGATGTTGAGCGAAGAAGCTGGAGGGGGGGGGAAGGCATTGTTCCAATTTTTTTTTTCTCTATCCAAATCTATTTTAATCAGCAATAAATTAAACTTTCCCCAAGTCAAGCCTGTTTTGCCCAGTGATCTCCTTATCTTTATCTCAACTTGTAAACTTTTCTGTCTTCATTTCTCCCCCTGTCCTGTTGACGAGGGGGAGCAAGAGAGCAGTTGGATGGCAACCAGCCAAGCTCAAATTCCTTGGGGGGGATCACTTACCAGCAAAGTCTCTGCTCTGTGCTCTACCCTGGAGACACAACACCTGCAAAGAGACAAAGCTGAAAGAGTTAGCCACCAATAATTCAAATTCAGAGGATTTTACTTTACTTGCTGCTGTGCTTCAGCCTCCTTTGAATGTCCCAGTTTTGGACTCAGCCAACATTTTTCTATGCATCTTATCACTTCGCTGTTCCTACAACACTACCTTCTTGTGGAGCACGTACGTGCAGCTGACAGCTGCCCACCTGCCTGCTGTGGAATTTGCAAGGGTCTGTGGTGGAGCTACTCAGAGCTGCCCAAAGAATTTGAACACAGTACTCAATCAGAAACTGAAAATGATCATTTATCCAGCTCTGATGCCCTTCATGCCTTGGCAGAGATGATGGGTATTCAGAGCAGGCTAATCAGAGGAGATCATTACAGGACAAGCTCTGTTATAGAGCTGGTTACAGCTCAAAGGTCCACGAACAAAGGCTTCGCAGCTCCCGGACTTCCAGAAGGAAGAGCGAGGAAGGACTCGAGTCTCCCTTGCAGCCTTATCTTGTTCCACTGCTGTCTTCAGACCATGGTTGCAACCGTCCCTCCTCTCCTCTCTGCGCAGCAGTGTGCTGCTGCTGCCGTGGCAGAAGAATTTGAAGTTTGTGGATAGAGTGTGGGATTTGAGGGGGTGGAGAAATGGGGAGGAAAGCGGGGGAGTGGGGTAGGATGATGTTTCTGGGCAGCTTTTCTCCATTGCTCCCCTCATCCTGGTTCCCTCTCTCCCCACTCCATAGATGGACACTAACCCCTGCCAGCTCCCCTGCCGCGACCCAGGGCTCCCAGTCTGCTCCAGCCCCATCAGCTATTCAAAATGTCCACCTGTGCCCTGCTTTCACTTTCACTTGCCAGCGTTTCTGCTCCTTGTAGGGACTTTCCACTCACCAGCTAACCCCAACTACAAAAACCAGAGATGAAACACTTAATAAAGCAGACAGAAGTATTTTGCTGGCATGACAGGTAGTGTCCTTCATCTTCTGCTGAAGATTTCGCTGTCTGGTCTCGTGCAACTGAGACACACCCTGTAAATTTGCTTTTGCATCTCCCCAGGAATAACTTTATACAGAGGAAATTTTATACATGAAAAGCAACCTTACGCCACCTTCTCTCTTACACACTTCTCCCTCATGTGGAAGAAAGGATGAATTCATGAAGATGCAAACACATCTTATGGCATGACTAACCGCAAGCAGGTATCCTTCCAGAGCACCTTGAAGCCAAGCCCACAAACCAGGAAATCCCCAGCTCCCTCCCTCCCAGCTCAGCAGCACCCCAGGGGAGCTGTCAGAGCCTGGCACACAGCAGCTCCCCGGCTCACCACCCTGCCGTCGGGCTGCCCA